AAATGTATAATTTTATCATTTCAAGAATAGTACTGCCAGGTGTGGTGGCACATGCCTGTTATCCTAGAACATGGGAGACTGAGGCCAAAGGATCATCATGAGTTCAAGGCTACCTGAGCTACATAAGTGAGTTGAAACCCAGCCTGCATACATAGTGAGACCCTGTCTCAGAAACAAGCAAACAAACAAACAAACAAACAGAACAAACACTATTATAAAAATGGAATCGGATCTTTAGGGTAGACTTTCCTAACTGTACATAATTCTCTAAAGATTGAAACCAATTGAATATAGTAGTAACAGTTAACTTCTTTTTTATTAATAAGTCATATTACACAATATGGTTGAATCACAGAATGTTTAAGCATTTACTCATCAAAACACATTTGGGTTGTTCTTGATTTTGAAATATTGCAAAGATACCAAATACATTTGTATACACTTTTTTTTGTGAACATAAGTGTTTATTTTTATGAGAAAAATGACCAAAAAATGTAAATTGAGCATATTGCATTTATACCTTTTGTTTATTGAAGAAGCTGCCAAACTTTTACCTAGAGTGGGAATACATGAACTATTTTACATTTTTTCGTTCCCACGAACAATGTGAGGGATTCTGTCTCTCTGTATCCTCACCAGTGTTTGTCATTGCCATTATTATTATTATTATTATTATTATTTTAGCTATTTTTTGTTGGGTGAGATGAACCTGAAGGATGTCACACTGAGTTAAACAAAATAGACAGAGAAGGACAAGTGTCACAGAATTCACTTATATATGACGTCCAAAAAAGTGATTCTCAAGCAAAGATAAGAGCTATGATTTCCAGAGACTAGAGGTTGAAAGAGAAGGGAGATGATGGTCAGAATGTATAAAGTTTTAATTATGCAGGCTCTGTTAAGTTTTGAAGGTCTAACTGTGTGATGATGATAGCTAACACTGTATTGTTAATTGGAAATTTCTGAAAGTATATCTTGAAATTTCTCATCAAAAAGTAAATTGCAATTATATGAGGTGATAGGAAATTAATGGATTTGATCCCAGTAGTTGTTCTGCTGTGTCTATCTAGACGCCATATTCTATATGTGAATAACATACAATTTTATCAATTTTATCTATAGCTGGGAAAAACTAATAAAAGCCTTTCAAACTTAACACATATAGGCAAAGACAGAAATTTTAAAAGACTTTGCAAAAACTCAAGGTATGTAATTCTAGTATTACACTGCAAAGGATTCCTCTAATCTCGATATCTTTAAGTATGAAAAATTGTGTTAGCTAAGTTAACATAAAATAAGTTTTTAATACTTGAAGAAAATTTTTGTATTAGGAGAAAAAGCGAATGAAAGGAACGAGTTTCTTTCAAATAACATGTGAGCTACAGTTTCCATCCTTAATAATGCTATAATACAATACGAATTCGGTAAAACCTACATTCCTGCTTGACACCTTGCAGTGGTTGACTGATTGTATCAACTAAACTGGCTTAGCAGTTCCACACCTCAGGATACAGAAGACCCGCCCTAGGTCTGCTGGTCAGCTGGACTCTGTCTAGAGGAAATCAGGAAGGACAAATCTGCTCTGGTTCTGCAGCGGAGCGCCAGTCTTCACCTCCACCTTGGACATCATCTCTTGACCTCAGCACACTCTCCTCGGCTTCTGGCACTGACCCTACAGCTTTCTGGCATGGACTCTTCAGCCTTCACCCCACAGACCCGTCTGCTTTTCTCCCAGCTCTATCAGACTCCTGACAAGGACTTGCACGGGACACTGTAGTGAGATCCAGGCCTTTGGCTGGATCCTTGAGTCTCCAGTGCTCAGGCGGAGGCTGTGCCCTCTTCCACATCCTACTCTCTGAGTGACCCCTGTGAGCCAATCTTGTATATTCTGATATATCTGTATAGCTTGTATTATATCTCTTTTTCTAAGAAAGGTTGCCTGCTACATACTCTGATCATTCCACCCCAAACTCTATATTGCTGATTCTCAGTGAATTCAAATTCAGTGACTGTTTACACATGGCATCCAACAGGAGGTGGCACACGTAGCTCATGTGCTCTGCTGTGGACCTAGAATAGAGAAGCTTCAGAGAAATGTCTTCTCTAAGCCAAGCAAAGGGGGTTATGAATCAGAAATGCTGCATGGACAGGAGAACAGGTTGGTAACAGATATGAAATCTCCGGAACTTACTTCCAGCCTCATGTTCTTTAATATTTTTTACAAGTCAGCTTTTTCAGATTAACATTGATTGTGAGATTATACAAAAGAGATTGTTGACTGTGTCACATTTATTTGAAAAGTAAATATAAAGTTATTCACATTTGTTTTGATATCAGATAGTAAATATTAAAGATAGTTTCCTCTAATTACCTTTATTATTAATATTATTAATAATGATCATGGTGACTCAACCAGGGATGTTGCAAGGACTAAATCACTTCATATGTGAAAAATATGTAGAAAAGTACCTGGTACATAATAAGGATAATCGGAGTTCAATGAATAGTAGATAATGGTGGTTTTATGTGTAGCATATTTGGGAAATAAGATAAAATATCTTTCCAGAGAATAGATGGATAGTAAAAGAGACAGAGGGAGGAGGAGAAAGAGAGAGAGAGAAAGGAGAGAGAGAGAGAGAGAGAGAGAGAGAGAGAACTCTAATAAAGACAAATTATTATAGGATATGGAGAACTCTAATAAAGACAAACTATTATAGGATATGGTAATTATGTCCATTTAAACACTAGGTGGCTTTAGGTTGGTAGGAATGGTTTACAAAATATTTACAAATGAGAAGCTAATCAACTTGCTATCTGAATAGTCAATGAACTTTTAAATTTACTTGTCAGAAAGAAAGGTAGATAAAACAAGGATAAACAATAAGATGCTACCAAAAAAAGATGGATATGGTATCATTAAAGACATGAACCTACAAATTGAAAGGGAAAAAATATTTGCCTAAATATTTTTCTTTATATCTGTATTTTAACTCTCCAGTCTTCGCCTAGGAATACTTGAAGTAGTAAAATTTTCTGCTCAGAATTCTAAGGATCACGTGACAGTCCTTACATAGTACGAATACAACAGTGTATGCCAGAGAGTAGGCACCAAACATAAGCTCGCTTCCCCTTACTCCACACCTCCTGCTGAGGGTAAACATCCATGTATATGTGAAACACACAGACAGCCCGTGCTGCTGTGCACACGATGCTGATGTGCTGATGATTCCAGTGTTGGGCTCTTATATACAGAAGGGCAGACATAAAGAGCACCAACACATAAACTTGATAAGCGTTTGGCTAAACGTGGCTGTACCTATTACCAGTGCTATGCTTCTGATGCATCCAGGGTTTCACAAGAGAACTCAGAGAGCTGGGTGCAGTGTACCCAGGGTGAGGCCTGGGGTGAGTGTGTTAGGGCTCCCTGTCTCATCCCGAACAGGTCATCCAAGAAGAACTGCTTCTGACCTAAATTACAGACATGATTTCAACATGTTAACATAGGACCCCAGAGATTATGTCACTGTGTTTTCATATTTCTACCCTTGGTGTGAAATACATATTGCCTCATTAGAGAAGCCAATCTTTTATTTCAGATTTTCTGTTCTCCTGGATTGGGGGAAACTTGATGTGTGTAGCTGTGTCCACTGAACGTTAAAATACAAGAGTGTTGTGATTTGAATTGAATTTTTAGCCGAAGGGAAATGAAACTTAGATTCAGCAGATAATTTAAATTCCCATTAAAATAGCCATTGGAGTCACTGGATATATCAGTGTACAAAAATTACATCGGGTCCCTTGAGACTAAGCAAAATTAAACGTTGTTAAAGCAATTGTTATGCAAGTATAAATTCTCAAAGGGTACTCAAAGTACTCAAGCTTAGGAAATCATTTATTATTATTATTATTATTATTATTATTATTATTATTAAATTTGGATGGTATTGCCTATGTAAAATAGTTTAGAAAGTCCCTTTTGGAAGCTGACATCAGAATCAATACAGGAAAAATCCCACATCATTATTTTAATGAATGTATTACATTTTGTCAAAAAATTCAAGATTAATAATTTTGGCCAGACAAGGTGGCAGATACCTGTTAAACACATCAGTACTCTCGGAGGCTGACCCAGGAGGGTCTTGAGAAACTTAGAGTCCAGCCTGGGCAACTTAGAAATGTAATGACCTTCTAACAAAATAAAATAAAAATAAGAAGACCTAGAGATATTCAATACCCAGTATGGAAAAAAAAGATGGTCTTTTGTAGATATTCATAAATCTCTACTAATTGTGCCATGTTGTCCAACTTTAAAGGGCTCTCTTTATTTGCTTTTGTTCCCATCAAAATCCATAATATTGACTAAGGCCAACTTTATTTTCTTAAATTTAAGTATAGCTTAGTCCAAAACCAAGCTTCAACTTGCTTCTATTTATTTATTTAGATGATGAAAATGGACAGAGATTTTTTGAATAAAGTCATTTGATGGGAAGTCCATTTTCACTAAAATTCTGGGATAAATTGAAACAGAAATTTTTTGCATATAGGATATAAGGATTTTTTCACTTTTGTAATAATTTTTGCTTCCAAGGGTAGTTTCTAAAAAGCTTAGAATTTCTCCCCAAAGAGAGATTACTTACCACTTGTTCAAGGAAGTGTACTACAACTTTTAAGAACAATTTCAAGACAGAAATTTTTAAAAAGTTTGCATGAAGTTGAATTTAAATAGAGCAAATTTGTGACATTCACCAGTGTCAGTTTTGCATGGATTGTTGAAGCAGACATAGTATTAATGTTCAGGCACACTGGTTTATAGATGGGTATACTTAATCAATGGAAGGCTTTGCAGGAAGCATCCCGTTTTATGGGAAGTGGGGGCTGTTTAATGAAGAGTTCTGATGCAACCTCACACAACAAGGAGGAAGAGTCTGTATACAGAGCCACCACTCTCCAGGGATATATAAAGGGACAAGCCACACAAGGGTCAGAACACAGCTCAAGACGTCCACTTCTATCCCTCAACTACAACCTGCTCTCAGCCTCACTATGTCTTGCCGCAATTCTGGCACTGGAAACTGCAGCTCGGGGTCTCCCAGGAGTTCCTACCATGTTCCTCTCAACCCTGCCGTTGCCCTCTGCTCTCCCAACGTAAGCTGTGGGGATGTCCTCTACTTACCTGGCGGCTGTCAAGGCAGCACCTGGTTCACCGACTACTGCCAAGGGACCTGCGAGGAACTGACCAGCTGCCAGCCAGCCACGTGTGGGCCCAGCCATGGAGGGGCCCACTTCTCCACTGGTCACTGTGTGACCAGACCCTGCCACGGAGGCAGTTTTCTTCCTGCTTCATCCTTGATCTCCAGCTCGGGCATCCCAGTGACCTACAAGCCTCTGAGCTATGTGTCCAGCACCTGTCGTCCATTGAGTCCCCTGGTCAACACTCTCCAGCCTGCAGGCTGTGTGTCCAGTAGCTGTCATCCCCTACCCTACTTTGCCAGCTCTGGCCGACCCCTGAGCGTCCTGCCTTATGGATGTCAGCCCTCCACCTCTTTGGTCTACAGACCTCAAACGGTTCATGTTGTGTCCAGTGGCCTCAGACCAGTGCAGCCCATCTCCGGTGGCTGCCGACCTCTGACCCATGGGGTCAGCCCCTGCCATCCACCCTGTGCTGTTCAGGGGGGCCAGTAGCTTCTTTGTCCAGCGAATACTCAAACTGAAGATCCAGAGAAAAAGTTCAAACTGCATGGACTCTTGCTTCTTTCCCAGTAACAACTACTTTGTTTTTGTTTTCTCTGTCTCTCTTCTCATGAGAGATGTTCTTTGCACATCTAATCTCGCTTTCATCTTTCAATGATATAAAAATTGATTTACAAAGCTATTCAATGTTGCTTGGATACAGGAAGAATGTATTTGATTCATGCCATAATAAATGAAATTAGATGAAGAATCTCATTGAGTATTTTGTTTTTGTTTTTAATCATTGCTTCCTTGTAACAGAGAAATGAACAGCCTAAACTGCTTACAGAATTAATGCACAAGATAGGTGATACTAAACCAAATGTCCTTCTCTATTATGAAAGAGTAGCTTGATGGTTCAGAAGTCTAGACATTTCTGGTTAGAGATACATAAAAATAAAATCCCAAAGTCCTTGGTGGAAGTTAAGGTGAAAAGGAAGTTCATCAGTGAACTCACTTTATCTTATTTCTTTAGGGTACACACTACCTTAAGAATGTTCTAATTGCAAACTTACACACAAGGTTCCACTTAATTCCCGATGGCTCCTATGACCTATTTACATAAGATGAATATGCAAACGTCTTACTAGCGCGATACTGTTTTATGCCTCTTGTCTGGCTTTAGTCTCTTCTGCTCAGAACTACACATATGAAACTCCAGCAATCCAGTCTTACATGTATGTCAAACATAAGCCTTTCATAATCACGCACCCAAGCACCGTTTTGTATAAGTAATTAAGACCTTGTTGCTTTCCTGCTCAATCTGCTTGAAAACTCACACTTACTTTTAAAACACAGTTCAAGTTATGAAATTGCTGATTTATTCATCAAAAAACCTTTACTTTCTTACTATGTTCAGAAGGAACATGTTCCAAGTGTGAGACACAGAAGTGAAAAAGTAAAGTACTGAGTTTACCGGAAATCACTGTACCACGGGGCAAATTTCAGTTAAAATTCAAGAACAGGAAACACTAATGTAGAAGCAGAATGATGGCTGTATTTTAGGAGGATTGACTTGTGTACAAATTCACGTCTATGTTACTTTCCAACTCCAGTTTCGTTTTAAAGTGATGCTAAAGTGCTTTAACTACATCAACAGTGAGTGTATGTTATCAAAGGAAGGTTTAGTCTATGTATGACTTATTCACTAGAGTCTGGGGTAGGAGAGGGAATGAGAAAGACTTAAAAGAAAAAAAAAGTGGAGATATCATAAATTCAGAATACCCAGGACAACCAGGCAAATGAGGCAAACAACAAAACAAAACAAAACAAAACAAAACAAAACACCAGAATGGAATTTTAAAACAGCAGCATGAACATGATAATAATAAGAAATGTTTTCTCTACTTCAGTGTCAGGGAGTTTACAGGGCAAGATGAAGGCTGAGAACCAGGGCTGTGTGTCTGTTCCCGCAGGAAGGGCTGTTAATTCCTTTCTAGTGACCATTATTTCCCTTGCATTCCGGCAGACTTCTAGACATTCCAGTTCCCCCCAAAAGGTTAGTATTCATGTCTTTGGAGTCTAATATTATTTTAATTTGTGAATTATATTCCCCTGTCCCTGTTAAGCTAGCAAAACATAAATATTTAAAAGCAACTCTAAAGTAAAAGTACTTATCTAAAGTATCTCTATCTGGCTTCCTTTGCTAAATGTTACACCTGCAAGAATTTTCATCTTGTCATGCCCACCAGGAATCTCTTTCCCTGATTCTCCTTGCCCGAAAGCTATGTCAGCCTTCACCTGGCAGGCACACAAGCATCACAATCTTGAGAAACTTTTGAAGGCTGCTAGGGGGCCACTGCCAATATGGGAACGTCTTGGGGCTGCAGTCCTGGGGATCCCTTCTAGGGATCCCACCAGTTTCTCGAGAGAGCTGAGTTTTCTTATTCTCTTGGCCCTGTCAGGTAAGGGGGAGGAGGTACCTAGGGAGGCAAGCCCAGAATCTCCTCTGGAACAGCATACTTTCCATAGAAGAGGCTTCTCCAAACCTTATCCAGTCTGAGGCAGGGACATTTCTCCTTCTTCTGCCCACAGGAGCTCTCCTGGCTTGCCTAACTGGTGGAAGGTAGGAATAAGAAACAGTTGAAAGGTCGTGGCTCAGAGACACAGTCCAATTAAATGTCTGAGATTTAATTACAAGGTTATAGAATGCTTCCCCTCTGCTCTGCCTTCCCAGCTCCCCAAACACACTCTAGAATAATAACAATGGGTTACAGATGAAAGAGCTGAGCTATGTAGTGCCTTCCCAAAGAGGGGTATCTAGGAAAGCCAAGAGCCCCGTAGAGACTTGGAATCAAGGGTACTAGAGAAATGGGAAGTTCCTAACTGACACCTACGACTATAGAAAATATTAAATTCACTCCACTGCTGGTTAGACTAACTTCAAACATCATAACAAAGGCATATTTATCTCAGTTCCTATTACTTGAGTATATCATGGCTGACTTAACAAACTAAATATATAAATAATAAATGAAAATTAAAATGCCTATCAAAGAGCCATAAAACCACAATCTCCTGAAAAAAAGTTAACATCAAAATCACACCCAGACATACATGTTATACATACTAGACTGGTCAGGCAGGGAATTTAACATAACTCTGATGAACATACTCAGATTTAAAAAATATAACAACAGGTAGTTTATTTACCTGCCCTCTTGGTAAGCGCCTGTGGCATGGACCAGGAGGAGAAACAGAATTCCCGAGAATCAGCCATAGTGGGACTCAGGCAACTTATTCACCCACCCTCTTCGTAAGCACCTGCAGCATGGGCCTGGAGGAGAACCATTACCTGTGAGCCTATTGCCACATGGGCTGAAAATCAAGCACCCTTCCTCTGCCCGCCCCCTCCCCTCATAGCTACTGGGAATAGATGTCTCAGCATCTCTTGGGAGGATGACCATATGCAGTATAGCAAATATGGAGGATTTCCGTCTATCTTCTGTTTGAAGGCATAGGTTGTTTTCACTGTTTTGTTATGTTTCTTTTGCTCTATTCAGTATTCTCAGTTGGTTTTATAGTGTTCTATTTTTGGTTTGATTTTGCTATACCTAATTGACTGGACAACTATTGTGAAGTTAAAGAGCTATACCATAGTACCTATTACTACTATCCCAGTAGCCTACTGTGAAATCCTGTACCAATTTCACTGCCTTGTCTCGATTGGCCTTGTTCTGTCTTGTGCTGCTGCAATTTTACTACTTTCAAACTAAACCTTAAAAAAATATAACAGCAACAAAGGAATATACTTGGGTAGATCACAGTCAAATTGCCACAAAGCAAAGAGAAATTTTGGAAAACTTAGGAGTGTATCTTATCTGTGAAGCTAGAATATAAATAAAGTTAACTTTCTTCTAAAAATCACACTAGCAAGAAAACAATTTTGTAAAATACACAAAATCTATGCAGTCACATTAGTACTTAGTCATTGTTCCATGCATCATTTAAATCTTTAAACCAGTCCTTAGCTTTCCTGTTTGTTTGTTTGTTTGTTTTTGTACTATGTTCAATAAAATGGTTAGGATACTCTGTATAAACATATATATCGACTCAGACTGTAATCAATTTTTGACTATATCATTTTTGTTTTGGTTTGGTTTTGATTTTTTGAGACAAGATCTTACTATGTATTTCTGGCTGGCCTTGAACTCACTATCTAGTCCAGGCTGGTTTTAAACTCAAAGTTAGACCCTCCTGTCTCAGGCTCCTACATCCTGGGACTGCAAGGTTGTGCCACCACACCCAGACTGAGTCTATCATTTGATAAATACATTTGTATCCTTTGGAGTTATTTCAGTATGCAAAATTGCTTAATAAATAAGGACTTCCTAGTATATGCTCAAGTCTCTTCTGGTAATGGATATAATGCCGTCTAAGGGAGAGACAGAAAATAAGAGATAAATACTGGTATAGAAGTCAAGAGAATCTAAAAGAGTAAAAAGTAGTGTAAAGTGATATGCATCATACTATAAATGGGGAGATGATTATTTTTACCAAGGTCCAAGGGTGTTTTGTCCTTTAAGAATGGTGCTAGCATTGTGCCTTCCAGGATGCAAAGGGAGCACTCTGTGATCCTCTGGGTGAGCAGAGTCCACAGCCGGACCTTGAAGAAGCTGCGGGACTAAAGCCGGGTTGTGTAGCTGGAGTACAGGGAGTGAGGAGAGAGTGGGAGCAGAGGACTTGTCAGCATATTAGGAATATCAGAGCCGCATGCCAACAACAGCAGGAGTCCCGTCAGGTCTGTCTAAAATGTATCTAGCACGCATTGGTTGTTTTCTAGAAATAGAGTAAACACAGTCAGATGGGCTTCTGGTTACAGATGAGTACTTCTCTGAGACTGACGATAAATCACAATAACTTGCTGAGATAGTAAAGCTCAAATATGTCCATATGACACAAAATAGATGCTTTCTATCAGAAAATGATCTCTAAACAGACCTTGTAAATGCAATTTTTAGGCCTTCATTGGCCACTCATTGATGTCTTACTCGGATTACTCTAGGGTCTGATCTAAGATTTAATACCAAAAATAACTCCAAGCCGAAGGAACAGAAGAGATGGTGAAAATTTCTCTAGGTCAGCAGCGAAACAGTGATAAAAATAAAGAATAGCAGAGTTAGACCTTAAAATGTATATATCCTCATGAAAGATCAGGAAATAGAGTGCACATAATTCTTCAACCAGCACAAGTGAGAAACAAGGTCAGTTTTAGAACACAGGGATGACATGTAAAAGAATAGTTTATAAGCCACGTAAGGAAAAGCAGGACTTTTCTATGTAACATGCAAAATCTTCTGTATTTCACTGTAGTATCTATTAAATTTCAATACAAAACTAATCAAAAAATGCTTGGAGCATTCCTCATTTTTTGAAGGTTATTAAATCACCAGAGTATATATTAGAATGTCAGAGGAACTGACTGTAAGCTTCATAAGAAATATAAATAACAAAGCATTCTTAATTTGTCAACTTTTCTGATCTACTTAGCAAATCAGTTTTTAAATATGTATTTTATTTTTAAATTTCAAGTTATTTTTCTTCTCTGTAATTGTATATTATTTGAACATTTCTGATCCTTTTTATTTCATTAATTTTGAATAGAAAATTTCTGTGCATATTTTAATGCATTCTCTTAATCAAATAAACATGGCATTAACAGAAATTGCTGATATTTCTGCCACCATTATTTTTCCTTTTTTGTT